TATAATTTTTAAAATCTATTATGACAGTTACGTGTGAGAGTTTTTCCAGGATAACACTCTGAAAATAAAATTTTAAAATCATACTTTTTTACATATGTGCAGTTGTATCAGAAAGTGATAAATGGGTTTTCTGAAATATGCCAAAATATAGTTCCTATAGTGTTCTGAATATTTTGACAGCTATGTATTTTTAACATGTTTTCTGGGCTGGTGATTTAGCTCAGTGGTGCCGCTGCCTGCCTCCTAAGTGTGAAGTCCTGAATTTGATCCTCGGTACCAAAAACACAAAACAAATCATGTTTTCCCTCAAGCAAATAGCTAACCATACTGCATCTAAATGAACTAAACACCCCAAATAATGTAGAATATCGGGTTGGGTGAAAAAAGGATGCAATTATATACTATTTATAATAATTACACAATAAATATAAATACTCATTATATTTACAGATATACTAACAATATTTAAAAGAAAACTGTAAGTGTCAGACAATGAATAAAACCAGAAATACAAATATTTATTAATAATGATAGTGATTAATTTATTAAGAATATCTAATAATATTAATTTTATATGTGTTATAACAATGGTACAAAATACCTGAGAAAAACTAGAAAAACTTCTAGGAAATATGGAGAAATCAACAATAACATAATATTTTGAAACCTTTGTATCAATATTAAATAAGACAATATGAAAAAATTAAAAATAAAACCAAGATATATCATGTAAGATACAAGATCCCAATTATGAACACAACTATACTGTATATCTAAAATGTTCCAATAGAAATATATATATAAAAACAAAATGAAAAATTAATTGAGGAGAATTAAAATTATCAATCATCTGGCTTCACTGACTTTCATAGAACATTCAAAAAGTCACAATTTAATATAGGAAATTCTTTCAAAGTATACATGGGGAATTTGCAATATAGACTATATATATTCTCTGGATTAAGGTTTAGTAAATGTTAAAATATTAAAAACATTCAATTACCTTTTCTGACCACAATACATTATATTAAGTATAAATACTAGAAAACTATGTGGAAAATTCCTAAATGTTTCAAACAAAATGTTACAATACTACACTACATATGAGTCAAAAAAGAGAATTAAAAAGTATTTTGTGCTTACTGAAAATAATATAAATGTCTAGCAATTTGCTGTATACAACTTAGGTTTTTTTGTCATTGAACAGATAATAGTGGCAGTCTCATTTTCTATAAATAAAATGAAAAGGGAAAGAGCAAATGAAACGTCAAATTAAAATAAAAAATAATAAAGATCAGTGTAGAAATGAAATGAGTTGAAAATAAAACCAGCAGAGAAATCATAAACTAACTCTCTGTGAATACAAAAGCTAACCGACCAATTAACTAATGAAACTCACAAACAAACATGAAGAGCTTGTAGATAGACCAATTCAGGAAAATAGGAAAGACATAAATTACTGATATATTAAGATTTGATTTTGAGAGATTGTATCACTATATTTAGTACCAATACTGAATGCATAGTAAGAAAATAATGCTGGTCACGGTAGTACGTGCTTGTAGTCCCAGAATTTGGGAGGCTTATGCAGGAGGATTCCCACAGGTTAAAGGCCACTCCAGGCTACAGAGTGAGTTCAAGTTCAGCATGAACTGAACATTGAGAATCTCTCTCAAACAAACAAACAAACAAACAAACAAGGATCCAGTGAATAAGAAGTTTTATGACAATAAATTGACAATTAAATAACAGACAGAAATTTTTAAAAGATTACTCAAATATAAAGAATGTAAATATTTCTATATTAATTAAAAAATAAATATTTTTGAAAACCTTCCCACAGAGGAAACTTCTGTTTTCCTTTTGAGGTAAACAAGCTTTCTAAAACTTAGGGAGAAATAATACAGCCATCTCAAATTAATTTTCTTATCATTTAGATGATTACAAAATGAACACATCAACTAATACACACCGTCCCCATTGATACAGTTACCCCCCACACTTACATAAGCTACAGGTGCTATGAGCAAAGCGCATGGCATGCAGTGACATGGAGGAATCTCACAATAGAAATGTTGAATACAACAGACAAAGCTGAAGTAGTCACTTCATTCCACATACATATATAAAGTGAAAAATGAGCACTACTACTATTTGCATGTTAATCAAGTCAGGGTTGCCCATGATCAGTCTAGTAGTGATTTGAAGCAGATTTTTATGTACTAGTAATGTTCACCTCTTTCACAGAATGCCCATAAAATTGGTATGTCTAACTTAGTAAATTCAGCTGAATGAGGTACTTGAGAGATATTTGTCCGTTTGTACATACAGATTACATTTCAGGACAAAGCTGTAAAGATAAAACAATGTTACCTACTATATTAAAAAATCGTTCCAATAATTTGTGAGCTGTAAATTATTGCAATTCATTTGCAAATAAAATCAAACGTTTATCAGTCATATTTGATCTAGTAGAAAGAACAAGACAAAAAATTGTAACAAAACTTAGACTATCATTGTTTCAATATTTAAATGCTATGTTTTACTAAACTATAAATGCATTATTTGCTACATATTTTCAGGTGGCCTAAGACATTACTAATTTTCATTTTCCCACCATAGAATAATTTTCACAGCTGTTAAAATTAATTGAATGATGGTTTTATTTTCAAAAAAGTGTTTAATTATTCATAAAATTTTCGTTAGCAGTGTACAATGCAACAGATACACAACAGTGTACATTTCAACAAATGAGGGATAAATTTAAAAACATAAAGTACAGATAATAATAACTAAATAAGTGAAAATAAATTTCTGATAATCTTTTCTCACTTACCAAAATTTTGTGATCTTAGGAAAGCAAATGCAGAGTGCTGATTTGATGGTCTCGTGTTTTTTCTTTAGTAGAAATGTAAGCAGAAAGTTTTTCCATCACAGTGTTTCTTTTCTTGGAGGAGGGTAGTTGCAGTTTTACACAGGTACCTGTATTAAATATTTCACTCATTCTTCCTTTGGAAATTCACATTTCATTTTTCTGTGTAACTAATTCACCTGTGGCTGCAAATAATAAATGACTGAGTGTTAGCTGATAAAACACTAGTATATGGGACAAAATAGTTAATGATTTACCATGCAGTCAGTTTCAAGATTCCTGTCATGTGAGAAATTTATAGGATGCCAAAATCAGGTTGTATTGTAACATCCCATAAAGTATTTGTGTTCAATCATAAACTGGAGCGGAGAAGGCGAAGTTAATTGTCCCTACCTTGGTGGAAATAAATAATGGAAAAATATACCGCTGAGAGACAGGAGATATCTTTAAATCATTAATGAATGTGGGAGAGCCTGCAAATAGAATATTTCAGTTTGGATGAACAACTACGCTGAAATGTCAAATCTTTTTTTTTTTTTTTTTTTTTTTTTTTTTTAACCGACACATCAAATGTGTATTACGGTAGGTATTCCTTCCATCCTGGATACTTCAGTCCAGGGGAGAAAACTTGAATTATTGATCCGATCACCAGCAGGCTGTCATTTACAGTAGTATCAGCAGCAGCTAAACCATCGTACTGCAGGAGGGGAGCTTCAGATCTCATCCTGAACGCGATCAGAAGAGAGTGCACTTAGGCATCGCTCTACACTCAGTCTCAAAGATTTATGAGCTTCCCACCCCAGAACAGCAGTGTAGTTCAAGTAGCAAGGGAAATGAATCAGCAAGGTAGTATCATTTCTTTGGGCTGCCGCTGACTTTGACCCACAGGTGACTGATAGCACCCCCTTCAGGTGAGGACCTAGTCAACAGCAGACATTTTCAGTTTTTAAAATGTATGTGATCATCTAGCACCGGGGAGGAAAAAGTAAAAGGTTTTTAAAAGTAAAACAATTTTCCAACTTATAAAAATAAACCCACATGTTTGTATCCTGTGGATGCTTGTATAACTCCCCTAAAGTCACGCTATCCAAAGTGACTGTGTTGATTTTACACAGCCCTTTTGCTTCATTGGACGTATCCTGGAGTTAATGAAGTTTTAATCAGTTATTGGCAAGTTATTCTTGGTAAAACGCTGAGGAAATACATGAGTTTTTCTAGATATCGATATTCTATAGTATAAAAGTCAAAATGAAATAGTACCTAATTTTAAAAACTACCTAGTGAATTCAAATTAATAGGATACTATTCCAGTTTGAAAATATTTAGAGTTAAATTATGGCATTGACCCTAAGTCTCCCGCTGCTCTCTCATTTTCTTCCATGGATCCCTGTCCTTTTCTCTCCTTCTCTGCCTCTCTCCTCGCCTCTTACTCTATCGTGTCTTTATAATACAAGTTAGGATTAGAATTCAGAATCACGGATGGAATTTTAAAACGCTCTCTTGGTACTTTTACAAAGTCAAATGTAAATACTGGGATGCAAAATTTGAGAAAAAAAGATCATTGTAAAATATCATTATAGAAAACAATTCATTTATATAGCATAATTTAATTACAGCAAAAAAGTTTTGGTTTATCACTACATATTAGAATAATTTCATTTCTGAAAATCAATTTCTATTTATGTGACAGATGCTTGTCTCAGAGCATGCAAATACAAAGGGCGTTAATTTATACTTGTAAATACATGAGAATTTTGGAGCTCTTCTATCTACAGGTAAAATGTAAATCTACACTTTCTCTCTTAAACATAAATTTCAGAATGAAAAGACACTAAAAATATTTTTATTAGTACTTTTTAGGTATATAACAGAGCTACATTCATCATTAGGATCTTGTTACTTTACATGACTTATCTTGGTTCTTATTTTTCCCCAACTCCCTTCCCTCTCCTAACCCCCTCCCCCCTCCCCTATTCACAAAAGCTTTGATTTTATGCTTTTCCTTTTCTCATATTTTTTCTTGCCCTTTTTACCTTTCCCCTACTCCTTCCACTACGCCTAGTCTTTTAGAAATTTTCTTCCTATTACAAAATCTCAATTATAGATTTTGATCCTTATTTACACTTTTAATTTTTCATACAAGAGAAACTATTTGATATTTATACATGTGTATCTTCTTAATTTCACTTAAGAGTATGGCCACAATGTGCATCCACTCGGCTATTAATATCTCTTGTTTCTTGTTCGTTTTACCGGAGTAATACTCCATTTTATAAAAGCAGGACATCTTCTTTATTCAGTCTTCACTTGATAGGCAGTGGGGCTGTTTCCAAGTTATACCTATTATAAACTGTACCACTATAAACATGGGTGCAGACATATCACTGTGCTATGATTCTTTTAATTCATTTGGGAAGATTCCAAGCAGAGGAATAAATGGGCCAATTGGAATTTCTAATCGTAGTTGTTTTGAGGTGTCTCCATATTGATTTCCAGAGTGTTGGTCCATTTTGCACTCCCACCAGCAATGGATAAGGGTTCCTTTCTTCCCACAACTCTGCCAGCATTTGTTATTGGTTGATTTCTTCATAGCAACCATTCTTTCTGGGGTGAGGTGGAATCTCAGTGTTGTTTTCATCTTTTGAATGAGCAGTGATGTTGAATATTTTTTCATATATTTATGTGCTGCTTTTACTTCTTTGAGAAATGTCTGTTCATTTCAGAAGTCCATTTTTTAAATTGAGTCTTTATACTTGGGGCGGGCATAATTTCTTCATAGTAGACCTTTGTCTGAGGAACAGCTGGTAAAAATTTTTTCCCCACATTGTAGGTTGTCTCTTAGCTCTATTGGTGATTTCTCTTGCAGTGCCAAAGCTTTTTAAAAAGTTGATATCCCAATTGTTGATTATTTATGCTAGTTCCCGTGCTACTGAGGATTGGTTCATAAAGTCTTTTCCTATGCCAATATTTTCAAGAGTTCTACCTAACTTATCTTCCAGCAAATTTAGTGTTTCTATTTTAATATTTGTTTGTTTGTTTGTTTGTTTATTTATTTATTTGTTGTGCCAGAGATCAAACTTGGGACTTTGCACTTGTGAACCATGTGGTTGATGTTTTAATATTTAGATATTTAATCCACTTAGTTGAGTGCATGGTGAAAGATAGGGGTTTTGTTTTAATCTTTGGTAAGTTGAAATCCACTTTTTCCAACACCATTTATTAAAGAGGCTATCTTTCTTCTAGAGAGGAAGGTTGCCTCCTTCATTAAAATAAGGTAGCTGAGTATGTCTGGAGTTGTTTCTGCATCTTCTAATCTATTTCACTGATCTTTAGGTCTGTTTCTTTGCCTGTACCATGCTGATTTTATCATCATGGCTTTGTAGCATAGTTTCAAGTTGGGGATTGTGATGCCCCCCGCCATGTCATTGTTGCCTAGAATTGCTTTTTCCATTTGGTGTCTCTTTCTGATTCCAAATGAATTTTTGGATTATTTTCTCTAGTTCTGTGAAATATATTGTTGGTATTTCAATTGGTATTGCATTAAATCTGTATAGCAGTTTTGAAGTCTGTCCATTTTTACTGTATTGATGCTTCCTACCAGGAACAAGGGATGCCTTTCCATTTTCTTATACCCTCTTCAACCTCTATTTTCAGTGCTGTAGCTCTCCATGAAGGGGTCTTTTTCTTTCTTTGTTAGACTGATTCTTAGATATTTCATTTTTTTCATTGGTATTATTAAAGGGATTGTTTCCATAATTTTAATGTCAGTGTACCTGCTGTTTCACTACAAGAAGGATATTGATTTTGAGTCTATGTAGAGTATCATCATCAGCAAATAATGATAGTTTAACATCTTCCTTTCCTATCTTAATTGCTTTTATTACTTTTTTGGTCTAATTGCTGTGGCTAATGTTTCCAGATCTATATTGAATAGGAGTGGTGATAGTGGACATTGTTGTCTTGTTCCTGATTTTAGCATAAAGGTTTTCAGTTTTTTACCATTTTGTATGATGTCAGCTGCTGGTTTTTCATAGATCGCCATTATTAAGTTGAGGTTAAGATCATTTATTCCTCTTTTCTAGAGTTTTTTTTTTTCATGAATGGGTGTTCGATTTTGCTGAATACTTTTTCTGCATCTATTGAGATGGTCATATTAATTTGTTCTTGACTCTGTTAATATATTACATTTATTGATTTATGTATGTTGAACCATCCTTGCATTCCTGAGATAAATCTGACTCAGTCATGGTGTATGATATTCTTGATGATCCTCTGTATTCTACTTGACAGTGTCTTAATGAGGATTTTGGCATCTATGTTCATTAGGGATATAGGCCTGTAGTTCTCCTTTTTGGTTGAGTCTTTTTCTGGTTTGGGAATCAAAACAACACTTTCTTCCAGGAATGAATTTGGAAGTCTTGCTTCCCTTTCGATTTCATTGAAAAGTTTAAAGAATAGTGACAATAGTTCTTCTCTAAATAGAATTCAGCAGTGAAGCCATCAGGACCAGGGCTTTCTTTTGTTGGTAAATTTTTAATTATGTTTTCAATTTTACTGATAATAATCGGGGTGTTTAAATTTTATCATCTTCTTTATTAAACTTTGATAATCCTTATGTATCTAGAAATCTGTCCATTTTTTCTGTGTTTTCCATTATATTGGAGTACACCTTCTCTAAGAAGGTGTCCTCTGGATTTCTGCTGAATCTGTTGTGACTTCACCTTTTTCATTCCTGATTGCATGGAGTTGAGCATTTCCTTTCCATTTTTGATAAGGTTGGTTAAGGGTTTATTGATTTTATTTATTCTTTCAAATCACCTACTCTTCAATACACTGATTTTTTATATCCTTCTCTTAAACTTCATTGCATTTATTTCTGCTCTAATCTTTATAATTTCCTCCCTTGTACAAGCTTTGAGCTTATCTTGTTCTTCTTTTTCTAGGAGCTTGTGGGTCAGCATTAGGTTGTTTATTTTAGCTCACTCTGTTTTCCTAGTGTAAGGGTTCACTGCTATGAATTTCACATGTAAACTGCTTTCATTGTGTTCTATACATTCTTTTAAGTTGTATTGGCATTATCATTTATTTATAAATTCCTTCTTTAATTTCCTTTATGACCCATTGGTTTTTCAGGAAAGTGCTATTCATTTTCCACTTGTTATGAAGTTCTTGAGGTTTC